CCAGCTGCGCAGCTGTCGCCGCTCTCGTGGGCGAGAGCGCCGCGCGGCTTCTCAGTGCGCCCTGATGCCAGCGGCGCTCTTCTTGATGGTCGCCGCGCGTGGAGAAAGGGTCGGCCGCGTCTCGGATATTTCCCAGTGGGGGTCTTTCGCATTCCACCGGCCCCCGCAGCGGCGCGTTCGCTGGGAATCGCGCCGCCGTGCCTGGCGCGCGGGCCGGGGGCTTCAGGGGGTGCGCGCGAAGGTTCTTGGAGGCATGCGATTGGATTTCGGGCGCTTCTTGAGGGCCTCTTGGGCGCTTCGGGGCCTCCTGGGGCCTTCGGGGCGCGTCCGAGGCTTCTTGAGGGCCTGTTGGGCTCTTGGGAGCCCCTTGGAGCCTTCGGGGCGCCTCCGGGGCCTTTAGGGGGCCGCCGTCCAGACGCGAGCCTGTTGGAGAGTTCTGCCTGGTGGAAACAGCAGGACGCTGAGTTTGCGGGCGAGACGCGATAATGCATTGTGATATAGATACACACATATATATACACATTTATACACACATGTATGTATGTATGTATGTATGTATGTATGTATGTATGTATGTATGTATGTATGTATGTATATATATATATATATATATATATATATATATATATATACATACACATGTAAACATACAACAGTCGGATCACGCGCTCGAGCGCTGCGCCTCGCAGGGATGCCGAGGAACAGAGGAAAGGGAGGAGGGGGATGAGGATGCCCGGGGGGGGATTATGATGCTGACGATGATGCTGCTGATGATGATGGTGATGATGATGATGTGGTGATGATGATGGTGATGATGATGCTGATGATGATGTTGATGATGTTGATGCTGGTGATGATGATGATGAGGAGGAGGAGGGGGAGGAGGAGGAGGCGGGGGAGGAAGAGGAGGAGGAGGAAGAACTGGAGGAGGAGGAGGATAACTAGGACGAGGAGGAGGGGGAGGAGGAGGAGGAGAGGGAGGGGAGGAGGATGATGAGGAGGGGGAGGAGGGGGAGAAAGAGGAGGAGGAGGACGAGGACGAGGAGGAGGAGGAAGAATACGAACAATGATCATCATATCAGTAATGCGCAGAATCAGAAGAAGAAATAGGTTCATCATGCGAGTCAGAGGAATACTAAGGAGGATGAACATATATATATATATAGTAATCATAAAATCACAACAAGAAACGAATCTACAAACAACACAACGAAGCATCTCCAACACAGTAGTATGCTTAATCGTAGTAAGACTTAACTTATGAAGAATGCAACAAAGCATACTAGTACGATCCATGCTATTATTAGTAGTAATACTACCAGTAATACTAGTACTAATATAATTAATCAGAATATACGGGGGATAAAACCGGATAGCTAAGACTAGTAGCAAGAAACAAGTGGAAGCATACGGAAACTGATACATACGACCATACCTGATAATAGTAATAATAATAATGCGACAAGAAATGATAATACTAGTAATGATACTAATAATAATACTAATACTCGTAATGTTAATAATAATAATACTACAACGAATAATAATACTAATAATAATAAGAATAATATTAATAATTATAATACCAATATTACTATTATTACTGAAAATAATAATGATGATAATAATAACAATAATAATACTACTATTAATAATAATCATTATAAGACTAATAATGATAATGATAATAATGATACTGATAATAGTACTAATACTAATACTAATACTACTAATAATAATAACACGAAGATCCGTACTAATAATATTGATAACCCCACGGGGCAAATAAGAGTATTGATGCTATTCAGAACCCTGCGAATCACCCTACTAATGCTAGTAATACGCAGAAAAAGAAAACAATAATAATACGAAGAGGGCGACATATAATAATAACAGTAATAGTACCAATAATGTTGATAACGTTGCTAGTAACACTGCTAATGCTAAGGAGGAGGAGGAAGAGGAGGAGGAGGAGGAGGAGGAGGAGGAATAGGATCAGTAGCAGGAGGAGGAGGAGGAGGAGGAGGATGAGGAGGAGGAGGAGAAGGAGAAGGAGAAGGCGGCGGCGGCGGAGGAGGAGGAGGAGGAATACGAGTAGGAGGAACAGAAGGAGGAGGAGGAGGAGGAGGAGGAGGAGGAGGAGGAAAGAGGACGAAAGAGAGAAGGATGAGCTGGAGGAGGCGCTGGAGGATGGGGTCCTTTGGAACCACCCCCGTCGGGCCGAGGCGGCACCGCTGGCAGTGCCCACGCGGGCCGCAAGCGGCTGCGGCGGCAGCCGAAACGGCACCCCGAGGTGGCGTCCTGACGACCTTTGCACGATGCCACGCCGCCCCCTTCCCACCCCCATCACCGTTTGAATTTCCATGTCCTCTTCCATCTCCTCGTCCTTCTCCTGATCCCGCGTCGTCGTCGTCGTCGTCGTTTTCGCCGTCGTCGTCGTCGTCGTCGTCGTCATGCCTGGTGTCGTCTCCACCCCGATCTTTGTGAGCCCTGGGATGGCTTGCATCGACAGTGGCTGCTTCGAAGGAGCCCTCGCAGAATCCACTGTAGCTGTTCGGGTAGGCCGTTGACGCTGCTAGACAGTGGCTCCACGGACGCCAGCTCTGCGCTCCTTCCGCCTCCTGCTCCCCCCCCACACCGTCGTCCTCCTCTCTTCTCCTGTCGCCGTCCCGCCTTCTCCTTCTCCTTCTTCTTCTTTCTCTTCTTCTTCTTCTTCTTCTTCTTCTTTCTCTTCTTCTTCTTCTTCTTCTTTCTCTTCTTCTTCTTCTTCCCCCTCTTGATCTTCTGCCTGTGTCCTGCCTCTCCGGGTGAGACAGGCCAGGGTCTTCACCTCCTCGTGGCACCGCGCGTGCCGGACCGCGCAGCGGAGCCCGGCGAGAGAGCCGGCCGATCCGGCGAAGCCGCGTCGCGAGGGAGTCCTGCTGGCGACGGCGTCTTCCCCAGCGGCGCCCCCTCCTCCTCCCCCTCCTCCCCCTGCTCCGCCTCCTCCTCCTCCTCCTCCTCCGCCTCCTCCTCCCCCTCCTCCTCCTCCTCCTCCTCCTCCTCCTCCTCCTCCTCCTCCTCCTCTTCGGCTTGCGAGCGCTGGGCAAGGGCTCGCTGCACATCGCCCTTCGCAACATTCAGTGGGGACTTGGTCTTGTTCGGAGCGTTCGGAAGCAGCATCACCCTGGCCTCCCAGGAGCTCCCGAGGACACCCTGGGCAAGGAACGTCTCGGGCATGGAGTCGGGCATGTCCGTCTACAGGGGGAGGATTTGAGAATTCTTGAGATTCGTCAGGGGGCGACTTTTCCATTCCATTTTTCCTGGACGCTTTTTGAGTATGGTGTCGAGTATTTTTTGACTCTTCTTCCAACACCCGCCGGTAGGAGGACGTGCCCGACCCAACTCTGGCAACACCCGAGGCCCGAGGGCAGGGAGCCATACATCCGCGGCCATCGCCCGCAGGGGATCGGTCTCTGGGGGCCTCTCGGCAGCGATCGGCCTCGCAGGCGGTGGTTATTTGTATCTGGGGTTAAGTCGGGACTGTCCCTCTACAGGGGGAATCTCCAAACATAGTCAAACAACAGCTAATCTGGGGACAATTTTTTGAGTGTTTTTGGGCATCTTCTGAATCTGTTTGAATATTTTTTTATTGTTTGTCCAAAATCCCCCTGTATGGGGGACAGGCCCGACCTAAATCTGGTGGCTTCGCGTCGGCGTCGACGCGGCGGCGACCCCTGGCTGAGCGATCCGCGTGGGCGCAGAGGCCGCAGCCGGGGCCGTCGCGGCTGCCGTGTCCCCCCGCCTCGCACGAGAGGGGCCGTCTGCTCGAGCAGTGGCGAAGCGTCTTGGCTCGCCTATAGCCCTACCAAACAATGTTCTAAGAACCCCGTGAGCTTTCCACGAAATATTCTTAGAGCATTTCTGGTGGAGTCTGTCTGGTTTTAACACATCGGGCTTAAGTTCTAAGAACATTGGTTTTGTTCTTAGAACATTTCTGGGTTCGAAGAACATCTCGTGGTAGGACTATAGGAATGCCGGGACGGTCGGTCCATGCTCAAGAGAGGGGCCGTCGGCAGGTCGGTTTCGCAGGCGGTGGTTGCGGATCTGGCAGCTTTGCGTCGCGTCGGTGCGGCGGCGACCCTAGTTGAACGATCCACGCTGCCAATCTTCGGAAACTGGAGCGTATACATTACCAGTGGCGGGCTGTTTTTCAATTCCAGGAGTTCTTGAGGGTCGAGGACGACGCTGGGGTCGTGTGGTGTATACTTTTTTCCCCGATGTCCCGGGGAAGCAACGGACAATGTATACACCAGGGTCCCGTATACACCAGGATCCGCTCTCCAGTGCAATTTCTGATGCAGGGCAAGAAGAAGCATCGGTGTATAGAGTTCGATTCGCTAAATCTTGAGCTCGGGGGGAAACTCTTGGCCCGTGCCTCCGGCACCCGGGCGATGGAGCGAGCGTCGTGCACGGATTGCTTCACGGGCAGGCGGGAGCGGGAGCAGGAGGGGGGAAAAGGCGTCACCCCTACCTACTCATACTATATGTGCGTCGCCCCCCTGGGGGCGATGCGCGCACCGAGAACTCTTATAGTACATGCGTCGTGGCGGGCGCTTTCTGGCCACGCCGCCTGGGAAACGATCTACTACAGGATGGGTACACCACTTGTTTGGCTCGGACGCGCGCCTCCATGGATAACACATAGTGCTAGAATATTTTCTGGGCGTCCCAGGGTCACCACCCACCAAACCACCCCAACCCAACCCGAAGGCCCCAATTTATCCTCGATTTCCAGTGGGGGGGGTCGTGGAACATCGACAAAACACATATGGAACCCGTACCCCCCTCAACCCGAAATTCGGGTCTTCGGGTTGGGTTGGGGTGGTCTGGTAGGTAGTCACAGGGAAGGGGAAGGGGGAGGGAGAGGGACCGCCGCCGGGGTTATCATGGCACGAGCCTGCCGCACACCCCCCGCCCCGCACGAGGAGGCGTGGGCCAGTGCCGCCCGCGGGCCGCGGAGAGCGTCGGGCTCGAGCAGGCCGAGGGGCCGCCCCGCCCCGCCAGCCTCCCCGCCGCTGCGCGGCGCTGGACACCCACCGCCGGCGGCAGGACCTCCCGAGCGAGAAGCAAGCACGGCACAAGCTCGGGGGAGCGTAAGACCCGGGTTTGCCAGGACTCGGGTTCGCCATCGTTTTTTGACGACCGCGACTCGGATTTTGACGAGGAGGAGTTTCGTGGGATGTCTGCAGCGGGAGGCCTCGTCAAAATGCAGGCTCGGCCTCGTCATTTTTTTGACGACCTCGTCGGGGATTTCCGAGTCCTCCGTACCCGGGTCTTACGTCCCCCTGACAAACATGCAGTGCCGTGTACAGTCAAGACGTTGGTGGATTGGGGACCAGTTTGGGCTCCGGAGGGGCCCTGGTTTTCGGGCCAACCTTCAGGTCCGGGTCGGGCGACCCATGCGGAGGCCGAGTCTCACGGCGGCCCGAGTGGTCCATCCGATCCTTCTTCGGCGCTCGTGATGGCAGCGCACGGTGATGATAAACGCTTGGAGGGTTGCGCGGCTTTCGTGCATCGGCGCCGGGACCCCCTGGCTGCGCCTCGGGCGCCACCCCGGGCGCCCTCCGCGCGCCAGGGAATGGGGGGGCCCAGCGCCGACCTCAAGCAATCCGCTCGAGCACACGAACACTCATGCTTAATGTCAGCTTGTGATTAACAAATGACCCCCCCGGGCTGATGAATAGACCCCGCGGGGCGCGAAACATTTTTTTCAATCACGCGCGCCAGGGGGTCGTCGCTGGCGCCGCCGAGGGGATCGTGTACCCCACTGCATGACAGCCTCAAGCCTCAAAACGATTGCCTCTCGTATAGAACTTGTTATAGGGGTCGTACACATCCGAGGCGATTTTGTTCCCTCTCTCAGGCGTCGTCGTCGTCGCCGTCGTCGTCGTCGTCTTCTTCTTCTTCGTCGTCCTTGTCGTCGTCGTCGTCGTCGTCCTCATTATCTTCTTCGCAGTCCTTGTCGTCTTCTTCTTCTTCGTCGTCGTCCTTGTCGTCGTCGTCGTCATCGTCGTCGTTGTCGTCTTCGTCGTCGTCGTCGTCGTCGCCTTTGCCTCCCTCCCCCTCCCCTCCCCCAGCCTGTGCTGTCTATCGCCTTCCCGCTGGCGGTTGGGCGTCGTCGTTAATCACTGGCGCCGCCGACGGTCATTTTCAATCTGGCGGGCGCCACCCCACGGTTCGCCTGAGCAGGTATTTTTTCTCTCAACACGTGCCCCCCACGGTAATCCCAAGTTGACATTAAAGTAGGCGTTCGACCTAAACCTTCCACAAGAAACCCAACCCTGATACCCCAAGACGTCGATTGAATTTTGGTGTGGGAGCGTCATCCAAAACCATCGGGACCCAGGAAACCCAGGGCACCCTGGAGGCAGGCAGGGTTTTTTTTTGACATGGGTTTCCACTGTGTGCGGTTGTCTCGTCCTCCTTGAGGACCACCCATGGCGGCGGAACTCGAGGAGCCGAGGAAGCCGCAGAACGCCTACTGGATCTGGCTCGGCGAGAGCCGCGAGGCGCTGGCGAAGGAGGCCGCCCTGCGCGGGGGTGGCGAAAGAGGGGGAGGGCATTTTGAGAGCGTGCCACACTGAGTTTCTGTACAGTTCCCACTGGGTTTCAAGCGGGTTCCGGCAGGGATTCCATCCGATATTCCTAAAATTGGGTCGGGGCTTCGACAGGCCTTGCCATCTGTTTCCCACAAAGTTTCCATGAGGGTTTCCATCGGGCTTCCAGAAGAGGGAGGTCGGCAAGGGCAACGGGGGCCCATTCGCCACGCGCTCCCGGGGAACAGACATGACACCCGAGCGACGATCAAAACGGGCTTTACGCGAGATGGCATAGCGACCCTACGCGGAGGCTTGCGCGGGCCGCCAGCGCGGCGCGCTACATTGGAGACGAGGGCGCCTACGCGCGACACTACGCGGGCAGCTCACGCGCCAATGTCGGCGCAGACGACCCCGCTCTTTTGCGTCGTTCATCTGGCTCAGGTGGCGGGCGTGGGGGGGGCCCCAGGCCCTTCATCGCGCGCACGTAGCCTTCAGTCGGGCGTGTCCTTCTACAGGAGGAGTGCTCAAACATAGCCAACAAATAATGTGGGAACGTTTTTTTTAAATTTATTTTTCTGTATTTTTTTGATTTGCGCCCGAAGCCCTCTTGTAGGAGGACATGCCCGACCTAAACATAGCCGATCGGGGCTCTGTGGAATCTTGGCTTCGCCATCGGGGGAGGGCACGTCCGCCGATGCGCCGGCGATGCGTCGCCGACCGAGCTTCGAGGTGGGAGCCACCCGGAGGCCTCGGGGCCACGTCGGAAGCGAAGGGCGAGAAGGTTCACATGATGGAGCAATGTCTAGGGGAACGAGCAATGATACAAACAAAAAGCGCGGATTTCTCGGATCGGCGCATGAGACCCCTGGCGGCGCCTCCAGCGCCGCCCCTGGCGCGCTCCGCGCGCCAAGGAGGGGGG